CAGGAACAGTCAAATCAGTATGTGGTTCCTTTGTTCAATACGCATCACCCGCTCTGCCTGCTACTTTTAGAAATACTTTTGTATTTATGGTCTTTCCTGTTTAGCTTGTAATGCCATTCTGCCAGTTCCCCAAAGGAGGCTTCCCCTCTTGTTAAAATGTATTTTTAATTGACAAATAAAAATTGTGCAAATTTATGGGGTACAAAGTGATGATTTGAGCTATGTATACAGTGCAGAAAGATTCTGTCAACATAGTTAATATATATCTATTACCTCACTAACTCATCATTTTTTTATGTGTGTGATGAGAACATTAGCAGTCAATTTTATCAGCTTTGAAATACACATTATTATCAACTGTGGTCAGCATTCTGTGTAATAGACCACAAATTCTATTCCTGTGGTCTACTGAAATTTTGCACTCTGAAACCAACATCTTCCTTGTGCCCATCCTTCTCTACCCACACCCAACCTCTTGGAACAATCCAGTCTCTTTGTTTCTACGAGAATCCAAAAACAAGCAAGATCATACAGAATTCATCCTTCTGTGACTTGCTGATTTCAGAGGAGGTTTCTCATGTCATTCTAGACCTGGACTAACAGAGGAGGGGTTTTCTGTGTTTTGCCCTTATTTCCATTATATCTCTTTCTATTCAAATCCTACCAGGTTCATTTCAGATCCCCATGGTGAGCTATCTTTTCTGTGAATCTCAAATGGCTTTAAGTTGCAAAAAGATATTTAATCCAATGATCTACATGTGTCCATCAGCTCCTCAGGAGAAGCTCATGGTTGATACTTGTGTGTTCCTCCTTGCACCAAGCAGAGAGCCGAATGCTTTCCATGCCTGCTACAGATCCAATGTTTGTGTCCCCCAGAAATTATATTGAAATGGAATCCTAAATACGATAGTATTAGGAGGTGGGCCTTCACAAGGTCATCAGGACATGTGGGTGGAGCCCTACAAGTGGGATTAGTGACCTTATAAAACAGATTCTCTTGCTCCTTCTACCATCTCCTCTATGAAGAGGAAGCAGGCCCTTAACAGCCACCAAATCTGTCATCAACTTGACCTTGGACTTTCCAGACTCCAGAATTGTGAAGAATAAATTTACATTGCTTATAAGCAGCCTAATTTATGATATTCTATTTTAGCATCCCAAACAGACTCTAAGACAGTCCCTTTAAAACAGCAGTTCTTTTAAATAGCAATTTTCCTAGTCCATTTGAGTGCCTTCTTATTGTGTCTTCACATGGAAGAAGGGCAATCAAGGCTCTCTGAGACTCTCATCACCCCATCATCTCCTGAAGGCCTCATCTTCTAATGCCATCACATTGGGGATTAGGTTTCAATACGTAAATTTGGATGGGACACAAACATTCAGACCATGGCAATAATCAAGTTTAACTAATTAACCAACACAGTTGATGAAACAATCTAAACTCAAGCACAACACAGAAAAAAAACTTCACTGTGTTTCCAAGACCTCAGGCACTGTGACATATTCACATCAGACTTGGAGAAACCTAGGTTCTAGATTGTGCATAGTCATGCTGAGTTGCTATATACTGGAGATGATGAATGCAACAGCAGGGTCATGATTCCACACATGTAAATATATTTACAGCTCACAACAGGGAGACTGATTCCTGATTTCCTAGATGCCCACCAAGGAAGCCTTCAGTTCTAATTTAGCATATATTTTCAGAAATCCAGATAAATTTAAAATTCAATGTTCATAAATCCAGATATTATCTCATAATTTAATATTTAATTCATTGTTCTACAAACAAAATGAGCAAAAGAATCAAGACATTTTCTTTTTTGAACAATTTTGATGTGTTTGAGCATTTAATTTCAAATGGAAACCATGCCATTATCTTTAAGGATTTCTGTATAGACTAGGAAACATCCTCTATAAGCTAGGACTAATTTCAACATTTGTTTGAATTCTTGAAGCTGGAGGCAGCAATAACAGAAATGCCTGCTGCTAATTCACTTCTGCATTAGAGAAACCAGAGCATGTGGCTCATTAGAATAACGACACATATTTGCATTCCTTTGTCTCCTAATAGCAGAGAACTGTTGGATTGGGTAATTTGAAACTCATTATACTATCACATTTAGCCTATGCATACTCAGATGCCTGTGGTATAAGTGAGCAACTTGGCCAAGCATCTATTTTTAGAAAATCCAAAGGATGAAAGGCATTTAGTAGAGTGGCATTTCTTCTCCTAAAATAATTATGTCTTGAACTGAAATCACATAAGCTGACAAAAAGCTATATTTATACAGTTTTCTATCTCTTGGTCATTGTATAAAACATGATATCAATAAAATCCTTTGAACTTTTTGCAAATTGTGGTCATTAACAGTAAATATACACTATTGATCGATATCTGAATCAACTCAAATCCATCTTCAAAATACTGGGCAGATAAAAAGAAATCTGGCAGGACAGTTCAAAACATCTACTGAGTTCGAGAAGTGCCTCTGCTAGTTTTATTCTATATATTTTGTATGATAGTGATCTTATTTAGTTTCATTGAATGTAGAAAGGGAAAAGATCCCACCAGCTGATTACTTCAGTTTTGAATGTGATAAATGATTTAACTGCAGTGGGTTGGCTGTCGAGTATGAGATAATTTAGTGAAGAAAAATTAGGTTGTCACATATTTTTCATCACCAAAAATTGCTCTCGAGTTGCTTGCCCTGAACACAATTACCATTAAATCTAGGCATCACAGTGACTTGAACTTATTTAACCAAAGGACATAGTACCACCACAGTATGAAAAAAACAAAACAAATAAACAAACAAAAAACCTTCAACTTTTCAGTGTTCTGTTTCTGATCAAATCAAAGCATAATTTTCCTATACTGAGAGTGGTATAATTTTAAATTATACAACTAATTTTCCTTGGGAGATGTGGACCACTGATTCTTTTTTTTTTTTTTTGGTTGTTCAAAACATTACATAACTCATGATGGACCACTGATCTTCCTCCAGAGATGTGAATAAGTAATTTCCTACAAAAATGCCTTTGGAATCTTTAGTAAGTTTTTTTTTGTCACAAGCTATGATGTCCATAGTCACCCGGTGTAAGCAAGTGATTTAAATATATCCCGGTGACAATGCCCTTCTATTACATCATTCCCCCAAATAAATGTACATGCTAATCTCTCTTTAGCATTTGAAGACCATAGTTTGAAAAAAGACCAATTATTTCCATCTCACTTTACTTTTGGTTCATCACTCATACTTATCTCTCTTAAATTCAAAAGTCCCTTTAAAATGACAGAGTAATAAAACTCTTGGAGTCAAAAAAAGGCTCCACTTCCAGGAATGGCAAAGTGGCTGCTATGAGGTAACAACCATTAAGTCTGGACACCAATAAAAAAAATTACTCCCTGAAGGATCTGGAGAGAGGACAAGTACAGGCAGAAACTAAAGGGTGACACATGGAAGAAGCAATGGCTTTTCCCTTAAAAGGCTGTGTGTCAGTACTGTGAGGTGGCGCTAAGCTTCAGACAGGATTCCTCAGTCTTGACGGTGTGAAGAATCAGAGGAAGAGTCTGTAGTCGCCAAGGCAATGCAGCTGGAAGGTGAGACATCAAATCCTTGAAATTAAAAGAGCCATGGGGAGGAAGCCCCAAGTGTGATATATTCTGATGTACAAAATCTGCACCCAAATTTCTGTCTTACCCCCACACTAGGTATTTGCATGCATGGAGCATGGTCCCACCAGCCCAACAAAGGTCAAAGAAATACCTGACATGTCAGCTGCTGCCTGCCAGGGAAAGGCAGTCTGGAGTTTGAACTCAGCCAAGTTAATTGGTTTTATATATAGAAGTATGATTATAAATAGAAGTGCAAGTGTAAATAGAAGTGGAATATATAATTAAAACTCTATAGATTTAACAGAATCCAGAGTCCTTATAAAATAACCAAGTAGAGCATGCATCCAACATCCAGGCTTTGAATCCTTCCCTAGGGACAGAAACCTCACTTCACCTCATACAGTTGATCAGGGAATCCGCAGAGTTAGCAAATCTAGACACCAACAACTGGGAACAAGGAAAAGGAGTAGGACGAGGGCCTACTTGGACTTTCAGTCACCACAGTCCCATACCCTTCCCAAGCTCAGCTCAGTGTAAGTGGATGCAAAACACCAGCTCCCAGATTCTTCCTAGGGAGGGAGAGGCAGATCATGGATCTAGCATCCCAACTTTTCTAGGTGCTACACAGATGTCTGGCTTCCCATGGAGCCTGCCTTTGAGCACCAAGGGGACTCAGCACTACCCAGTCACCTAAGAGCCAGTGAGAACAGAGATGGCAACTGGTCTCACAGCCCATGCCACTGGTTCAGCACACAGCAAACAGGGAGAAAACCCTAGATCTCAGCTGCTCTCTGGAAAAGAAAATAGTTGGATGAAGCATCCCATAATACAGCTTTTCTGAGATGCCCGAGGAAAAGGTTTCAGTCTTGTTAGTTTCTGAGTGCCAATGAGACCCAAATACCTTGTGGCTGTTTAAAACAACAACAAAAAGACGTAGATTGGATGAGACAGAGATCTCCAGAGTATCTTGCCAGAAGGACTGGTGAAGGTCTTCTCCTGAATATAGTCAGCTCAGTTAGACTGGGAAGCCTCCTCCCCCTTAGCTCATGTGTTAAAGGCTTGTCTTAAGGGTGGGATATTGGGAGGTGGTCGAGCCTTTGGGAGATGGAAGCTTGTAGGAGGTCTTTATATCTCTGGAATACAAACTCAAAGGGGACTATGGAACCCAAAGACTTCCTTTTTTTCTTGCTCTCTGACTTATGATACAGGTGGCCATATTTTCACTTTAAAGACAAGGAAACTAATGTGGCAAGGACAAAGCACTCTCTAGTCTTCTCTGATTGCACCATACTGTGCTCATACACAACCTACATTCTTCTCCATGAATGTGGAATTGACCTCAAAAGTATATCCAGGGTTCTTACTTATGAAAATAACTTACAGCTGCCAAATTTCAGAGGGCAAGCATGGGCATCCATCGGGAAGTCTTCAAGTTGCATGGGGCACTCAGCAGAGATGGTCAAGCTGAAAAAAAAAGAGATCAGACCTTTAAATGATTCACTGTCTACTGAGCAGCTGCCTTGTCCCAGAAAGCCATATCAAATACTAATTTTAACAAATACCTTTTGTGTTATTGTTTAAAATGTCTTCACTAAAGTACCTAAATTTGCGTAGTAGTAGATGAGTATCATTCAGAAATAAGGCTTAGAATCAAATCCACTCAGCTTGGTATGTGGTTTCTCCCCTCCCATCTATATACATAACTGCTTGTAAAACAACTAAAGATGCACTTAAAAGTATTTACTCTTTGTTTCCCATCCCTTATTCATCATTATCTAAAAAGGGTTACCTTGATGAGGCTGAAAATATACACATTATCTAAAATAGCTCATGAACTCAAAAAAATGTAAATCAATGTAGATAAATGCACACAGTTTTACCAGAACCTGGCTATACTCATTGTTTAATAGATTGATATGAAACCGTACAGTAAGTAAATGTAGGTTGCAATAAGAATGCTCTGGTAAAACTGAATTTGCTTTTTAATTCAAGCCTAGTTTTCCTAATAATAACACCAACAACCACCACCACCATCACCAATAACTACAATAGTGATAATAATGACAGTGGACCTGTTTGTGCCAGGAACTGTTTTGAATGCTTTACCTACGTTCACTCATAAAATCATAGCAGCATGATTAGATCCCTTACTATTATGACCTCAGTTCATGGAGGAGGAAATTTAGTGTGTAGAATAAGGAATCAGACCCTAAATGCAAGGCTCTCATGGCAAGATCCTCTGCTGCCAGCTTTTGAGTGCAGAGGCTCCCTAAAGGCATCTGCTGCTTGCCACACAGCCACAGGCTCTGCTCTGGAAGAAGCAAGTGCACTTGCAGAGCTACCACATGTGGGAATTCCATGGTCTGCACAGGGCTTGAGGGTGCTCCCCAAAAGTTCATATGCCTGAAGCTTGGGCCCCAGTGTGGGGTTATTGAGGTGGTAGAAGCTATAAGAGGTGGGGCCTAATGGGAGATGATTAGGTCACTGGTGCCACTGCCTTTATAAGGCCTTAATGTAGTTCCTACAGGACCCCAGTTAAAAAATGACAGACTGGCCCCTGAATCTGGAGTCCTGTCTTACCACAAGGACACTTCTGCTCATGCCTCTACCATTGTGATGTCATCTCCATGAAGCCCTCACAAAAGACTGAACAGATGGAATCACCTGACCTTGAACTTTCAGTCCTCAAAACAAAAATCTCCTTACTTTATTCATTACCCAGCATCAAGTATTTTGTCATAGTCACAAAAAATGAACAAGAATTTTTATTTATCTTACAGACCTTTTTCTAATTAAAATTCCAAATTGTATTGAGCTTATCTTCTGTTTCTTGATTTTCTTTCCATTATTTAAAATAAAATAAATTATATAAAATGAAATCATAAGACAAAACATTTGACTTCAAATGCATGTTGTCAGTCTACTTCTAAAGCAAATAGTAATTCCATTTTAAATAGCACTATGGTCAATGCCTCATTGTATTATATTTGAACACTGCTTAAGCACCCAGGAGGAGAATCAAAATGTAAAAACATTCATTTTTACCTTTATTACTTCCTCCTATTAATATAGATTAAACTATAATTATTAGATTGGGCACATAATTCACACTTGCTGATTGTAGACTGAGTAGTCAATGCGTGCATTGTCTGATTGAAACTAAAATGTGACCAGTGGAAAGAGGTCTGTGCCCATCAGGAGAGAGAATTCTCCATTCACAATACTATGAAAGACAGTCCCTCAAATACATAGAGTCCCAGAGAGCTATAAGTACAAATGGACAGAAGTCTCATGTTGAAGCAAGGAGATGATTTTTAAAATGGCATATTCCATGTATATTCATAAATTATGAGAAAATACAGAAAAAAAATAAAAAGGATAATTACAAATACCTACAATTTTATTGTGAATTTACTTGGTACAGGTAGCCCAGAATTCTTCTATATGTATGTATATTTTCTTTTCATTCCTGGTATTTAAAATGCATTCTTTTTTTTAAAACCCAACATTAGAGCTGAAGTATTTCCCACATTACTAAAATCTACATAATTGTGACTCTGAGGGACTGAATTTTTAATTCTAGCATGCATGTGTATGTGTAATAACAAATAAACTGTTGTTAGATTTTTACATTATTTTGCATGACTGATAATCTGCAATGGATCTCTTCAATCATAAACTATGAAAAAAAGGTACATTCTAAGAGACTATGAAATGGGTGAGGTAAATAGAGATTCACTTACTACAATTATGAAAATTAGGAATGAAAAAGCATAGTCTGTGAGAGTGGTATTCAGACAACACAAAGGAAATAATGTTGGTTTTTTTTTTAACGTGGTTGTCAGCAAACTTAAGCAATTTGTTGAGTAAAACAATAACAAACAGAGAATTTAAATGACTCAGATATAATCTAGAGAATAAAATCACAAGTGATCTCAGAATATCTAGAATTTCCTTAAGAAGCAAAATTTTAATAGAGAACCAGGACAGACAGACATATATATATATCTGTGAGAGCAGGTTCAAAACAATAAATGTGAGAGCACGTGGAAAGACAGGGTAGTAGGGGCTCTTTGGGTGGGTTTATGGCCTCCCTTCTAACAATTCATGGACCAGGGAGACAGGAACACCCAGGGCCCACCACTGGAGCAGTGCGGGGAGTTCAGGGGGAGAGGGTAGTTCAGGTGATTCTGCCTCCACCCAGCTTGAGTACTGAGCCTGCAACCAGCAGACCCAGCTCTGAGTCGCCCCCTACTGACGACATCATGGGTCCACTCCCATCCCCAGGGCAGATGTGGAGATGGTGCCTCAATGGCAGAATCTTCTTTTCAGTCACAGCTATGTCTCTAAGACACCTTAACTGGGGTTCTGGTTCCAGCAAACACTCAGTTTCCACTGGATCTGTAGACTGCCCGGAAACCAGGTCTATTGGCTGAGTTCTTGACAACTTGATGACTTGCGATTAGCTCCTCCTTTCCTTGCTCTGTGCTGGTCTGCTTCATTCCACCTTCCCACTCCAGGTACCACAGTTCAGAACCTCTGTTGTCCATCCCTATTTGTCAGAGCAAGCCACCCCCTAACATACACACACACACACACACACACACACACACACACACACACACACACACGTACCCAGGAAACTTGATACCCCCCTTGGGCACACTACCCATTCCTGGATTACGACTGGTTTCCTGGCCAAGACCATGCACTTACAAGGGGAACCAGAGCCCTGTGTCTGTCATGGTGGGATTCACTCTGGCTGGTTGATTCCCAGAGCTACCCATCTCTGGAAAATCACTGCACTGACAACATTTAAAGGTGGCATTCTGCAAGGAAGTCACACCAAGGTCTACTTTTAGCATACTGTAGGAGTGAATGTGTCTGCAGGTACGTGCATGTGTGTGTGTATGCGGGTACGTGCATGTGTGTGTGTGTGTGTTATAAGGAGGGCAGGGCATAGTAAGAACGTGCAAAGACAGGTCAATAGAAATTAGCTGGATATTATGGTTTAGATATGAAGTATCCCTCATTAGCTCATGTGTGAGACAACACAAGAAGCTGAGAGGGAAAATGATTCATCAATGTACTAATCCCCTGATAGGGATCACCTGATAACTGTAGGCAGACACGGTGTGGTTGGAGGAGTGGGGCAGTGGGGGAGTGCTTTTGGGGTAGATATAGTTTGTCCCTGGTGAGAGGAATCTCCCTCCCTCCCTGCCTCTCTCTCTCTCTGCTTTCTGGTGCCATGTT